AAAATCTCCCTAGGTAACTCTGATGAAGTAAACTTTGATGTTAATAATAAGGCAGCATTATGTTAAACTCAAGCCACATCTAAAATTTGTTTTTCAGGACTTTGTTCAAGACTTTTCAGAACATACTATAAAGTTCTTTACTCTTCAGCTACTCTCACCAAATATTAATTTTGTTTACCAAATCAATAGTGAAGAAAATACTCAAAGTTCATTTTTAAATATCAACCTGAAACTGAAAACTAAGTAAGATATTTTAGTATCAGCAGAGTAGAAGGGAATATCTGATCAAATGTACTGTAAAGTTTTAATCTGTAAAAGGTCTGTTTTCCTAAAAAGTTTGATAACTTTATGTTCTCCTAGTACTCTGCTTGTATTTCTGTGTAGGTACATTCATGATCCCTATTTAAATTCCCAGTCACTTTCTTTGTATATGGCACTTTCCTTTAATTGGAATCCTGCTGGCACTGTTACATTGACCTCCAAGTTCTATGACAGAGGTGTCTGCATGCTGGTGGTAGCTTAACTGATCCCCATATTTATGTAATCTATAAATCTATAAACTTGTAAGAGGCTTGCACAAATAGTTTATGGTGACATCTGTTACTACTTCAGGTAAGAAATGTGAATTCCCTTTTTTTGGCTACTATTTCACATTCACCTCTCTTGTGGAGAGAGTTGGGGAAGTGAAGACTCTTTCAACCTAGTGAAATTGGTTAGGTCATCATAGTAACAAAATGGATTTCCCAAGATGAATGTCAATAGCAACAGTTCTAAGAATTTCTTTATAAATTCTTAATCCAAAGATAACATAATTTGTAACGTGTATCTGATTTTGTGAATCTTTAATGGCGTGGTTAAAGGTTTTCCAAATCAGCCTATAACTACAGATGAATAAAACACTAGCTTGTCTTATGATTTCATGGTAAGAGGTAAGGTGGTTTATATGCTTTAAGCACATATTTTTGCTGTTCTTGCATAGCAAGGTTTCTAAAGTATCAACTACAATTCCTGGTTTCCCACTATCTAGCTCTTTGGTCTTGATCTGAAAATAAAAAGCAGTTCAACCAAACTATTTGTGTTGCTAAAAAACTTGATGGGATTTTGCCTTTTAGCTACATATGGATGGGATGGCTGTGGTTAAAAATCAAAAGGATCATCAAGTTAAAAAGCAGGGTGAAAAGTAATCATCCACCTTTTGCAGACACCAATGCATTGTTTAAAGACCTGCTAATTGACATAAAGAGTATGAGGATTGTTTTTTCCCAGCCCCAAGCTTTTTTTTCCGTAAGAGAAAAACAGATGACCATCTTGAGAATTATTATACTGGGCCTTTTGGTTACAGAAATCAATGACAGATAGACATTTGCTTGCCTAATTCTTTTCTAGTCTCTATGAATCAATATGAGGATTTTTTTTTTTGGTTAACATTTGAGCTGAAGCAATCGAGAGCAACTGCTGTCTTGCAAGTTGCTTGTTGCTAGTTATTAATTACTACTTCAGAAGACATGCTTTGGTTTCCAATTTGCCCCCCCTTTGCCTATCTCAAGTGCAAAATCCTAATGCTTAGCTGACTGACTCTTGCCTCAAAATGCCTGAATATGATAAGCAAAATAAGAACAATATGAACAACTGCTGGTTGATAGGCAGAATAAAGTTGATAGCTGTATTCATAATTTCGCACTTATTGCACTCGTCCCTCTACCAGCATAAAGTCAGAGGAGTCAAGACAGGAAGTAAGTTATACCCTCTGGTGTTGTGAGCAGTACAGCTACCAGCTTCTGCGATTTCTTAACAAACTTCTGTATGCCTTGTCAAAATGAGACTATTGTCTGCTAATTCATCAGTTGTCGATACAGGGTGATGTGGGGGAACAGACCCCTGGGACAGAACAAATGATAGTTTAGTGGGCAATTAAAAACTGAGAAACAGAAGTAAAAGACCTGCAGAGCAGAAGGGGCAGATCACAGTAACAACACAGAGACTCTACACTTAGAATGAATCTATGAATCTATCATTGCAATTTTTTTTGCTGGGAAGAAAGAAAAAGAATGGCAGTGGAGAAGCAAAATATAAAGAGCTAACAGACTTTGGGTTTTGATTGGACTGGCAGGTCTAACAGCTGCCAGAGCTGACAGTGTCAATGTGTCTAGTTGCCTACATCCATGCATCTGTGTTAGCCTATGTTAGCAAGTGTCTTTAGTTTACAAATGCAACTTGCTTTTATTTGTGGGGTTTTTTTAACCTGCAGCAAGCAATAGAAGCATTTTGGACCATTGAGGGATATCGCAATCAAATGACTTCTCTCACACAGACAATGCTTTTGAGACAAAAACCAGAAACTGATGAGAGATTACTGTCAATAACTCTCAGAAGGGAAAGGAATGTCTCTTCAGTAATTAAGTCACAAGCCAGTAGGTCTAAGATGAAGTAATTCAGAATAGTTAGCTTTCGAGCTCAGCTTTAATACTATAGCCAACAGTGCATGCATGCCGCCCAATTGCATGAATTAAAATTGTTCTCTGTAATCAGCTTCTGCTAAGTTTCTCTTTTAGAGTATATCGTGCGTTTGCAGTTTTCTCTGTAAGTTTTCAGGCATGGCCCTGCTAAAACCTCATTACTTTATCAGTACCTCCTCTTACATATAATGCAGTGTTCCTTCACGGTACTTAATTCTGGCTGGCATCTCCAGAACGTGCAGTTTTTAAGTACTGCATGTCTTCCATCATACTGGCTTCTACTACAGGAGATACAGATCTTCCTGTGTGGTGTATCTCCTTATGGCTTTCTTACTGCAAGGACACCACGGAGGAGTATGTTGTTTAATTGCCTCAATTTGCTGGCTCACTGTAATGATAACTGCCAAGGGCTATTACTAAAATGTGGAGGGTAGGAATCCCTGTTTTTATTTCCCCCCACCAGAGCACCTCCCATGTCATTTCCATGGCTGATGAGGAACATTAGAAAGGCACCTTCATTGTTGATGCAGTCTATGAAGTTTCACACCCTAAGGAGACACAGCTCACCTATATCACAGTATACTGTTTTCAGTCTCTTCTTTAGAAAGAGCTTTTTCAGATGTCATTCAACTTTTTTTCTTTATTTAGTCACCAATTATTTGTTGCAACACAAAGTTTTAGGGCTTTCTCATTAACTATGTACTAAGCTAAGATGCTCATCTATAAACTGAGGAAACCTTGGAAAGAACAGATTTTTGTAATTATGGGAGCTATTTGCTATCCTTCATTCATTTGTGAGTTTCAAAGTTGTGAATGCTTATTAATTCTCACTTGGTAAACTTGTTTTGCTCATGTGGCTTTGTAGGACGATGCAAAAACATGACATTCAAACAATTTGTCCAAGGACTTAGGTAGGGGTCTTGCAGAACAGACAGTATGCAATTGTGCACCTTCAGAATGCACAAAATTAATAAATTAAATGTGCAGAGTTGATCTTAATTATGTAATTTCACACTTTTTCAATGTTTTACCTTGTAATCCTTATCTTCTCTTTATCTTGCTTTAAAAACAACATAAACACCTGCAATGACTTCTCAGTAGGTAAACAAGTAGTTGAAAATTCATGTTTCAAATAACTGTACTATACCTCTCTCTTCGCAGTCACTTCTGTCTAAAATGAGTTCCCCTCTCTAGTTCCCATTCTTTTTTCTCTGTTTTCTGCCAAATACCAAGAATATTTCTTTCTCTCTCTTTTTTCCTCCTACTTTGGCAGAATGGCATAGTTTAATAATTGTTTAATTACTAAACTGTAATAACCAAATGATTTAATGGCATAATCACTACGCAGCAATTATTTAATTACTAATGTTATTTAATTTTTTTCTTCACTTCTCTGAGGTTCCAAAGTACTTTGCAATCATCTAAAGATAATAGTGAAAATGAACAGAATATTTTCCAGGCTAAGCACAGTACTCAAATCTTTAGAGCTTAAGTTCACAAGGAGAAAGATGCTTCACTTATTCTTCTGAAAAATACCTATATTTGAGAAAGAATTTGCAGTAAATAAATTGAGGATGTCTGAAGGCAGCTATGGCAGAGATCACCAATAGTAACTTGTGAGAAGTATGGGCTGAAAAAGTTGAGAGATACAGATGACATATGGTTAAGTACTTTCCCATTATTTACCTTCAAAATTCACCAGAAATATTTTCATATTTTACTAAAGGAAGAATCACACTTCCTTTTTTTTTAATTAGGGTAGAACGGACAGCAAAACTGAGGGAAAAAAGAAAATCTGAACTTGGGAGCATTCTTAGACAGACGTTGGCCTGGGTGAGAGAGCACTATAGACAGGAGAAAACTGAATTTCTTAGTCACCTTTCGATTCAGACATTTTCATGCGCAAATTCTGAGGTCAGTGAAAACGCAGCTCTTTGCCATACTGTGCTCCGGGACTCTTTTCTCTAGCGATCATGGCTTCACTGCCCAGTTAAGGCCTCATCTACCCGTTTTGTGACGTCCCGCTGAAAGTAATAGGAACATTTTATTCAGTAAAGTTTTGGAACAGATGATTACGTATTTGATTACGTTATTTAACCCACTGGGTAAATGGCTATGAAAACCCACAACGAAAACACAGACACACGACGAACCTCCAGTCCGAACAGCGTTCAGTCTAGTATCTTACGCTCCACCTATTCCAGCAACGCACTCTGCGTTACGTTCTCAGTTGCCCGCATTTAACGTCAGCTCGGGGCTTTCCCTAGCTTTTGTTTGGCCCCACGGCTGTGCGGAGTTACTGCTGCTTGTGATCGACTGTACCGCAAAGGAAAGGCCTGACTGCCCGTCGTGGCCTACCGACGGCCGCGCCCGCCGTCCCTGCACGCAGAAAGGGACAGCTGCTCGCTCGGCAAGCGGGGCCTACTTACGGGGCACCGCTGAGGCGAATGTTGCTGGCGGGGCCCCCCCCCGCCCCCGGGGGCCGCCCCGGGGC